AGTTTTTTTTTGGGGGGGTGGGGAGAGAATTTCTGTTGAATTGGTATTATTTCTTCCTTAAATGTTTGGTAAAATTCACCAGCGAAACCATCTGGGCCTGGAGTTTTCTTTATTAAATAGATTTTAACTACAAATTTAGTTTACAAATAGATATAGGGCTGTTTAAGTGATCCATTTCTTCCTTTTTGAACATATTTTTTGAGCTATAATTCAGATACCACAAAATTTACTCATTTAAAATGTACAATTCAAAGGCTTTCCACATACTTAAGTTGTGCAACCATCAATGTTATTTAATTTTAGAACATTTTCATTACCCCCAAAAGCAGCCCAGTACCCATTAAGCAGTTATTTTTCAGCATCCCTTCCGCCGCCTCCTCTTCCAGCCCCTGGAAACCACTAACCTACTTTCTTTTTCGGCAGATTTGCCTATTCTGTACATTTAATATAAATGGACTTATAAAATATGTGGTCTTTTGTGACTGGCTTCTTTCATTTAGCGTAATATTTTCAGATTTTATCCATGTTGTAGCATGTATCAGTACATCATTCCTTTTTATTGCCACATATTTTATTCTGTGGATATACCACATTTTATTTATCCATTTATTAGTGGATGGACATCTAGATTGTTTCCACTTTTTGGGTATTGTGAATGCTGCTGCTATGAACATTTGTGTGTAAGTTTTTGTGTGGACATGTTTTTAGTTCTTTTGGGTTTATTCAAAAAAGATATTTATAATTTTGACTTTCAGCTCAGGTTGTCCTCTCTCTCATTAATGCCAAATAATGAAATTTAGTTCCTATTTATATGCATTAGTTACAGTGATAGCCTGGGGAAACGTGCCATGTGGGGTAAAAGATGAACAGGCTGGCTCCCTTTCTTTGTTAGTCTTCTTATTGCTCAAGAAAAATTCTGTATAAAAGACTAGATCAAATCTATAACTTTCCCTCTTCTTCTTTGATCTTAATTGCTTTGGCACTGCTCTTATCATGCTTTGAGATACTGTTGGGTTGTCGGAAAAGTCGTGACGCAGTTTTACAACGAAAAACATAGAAAAAGTATGTCCTGACTTTTCCGACAACCCCATAGACAGAAATGGAAGACCTTTTCTTAAAGAATGTTCAGTGCCTCTGGGTGACACCTGCCAAGGTCTGATAGTTCAAAATGTTTGAGATAATAAAAACGTAGGCCAGTAATGTAACAGCGTCTCGCAGTCCTATGTATGACCTTTATTAATTAGGATACATACAGGGTATGAGGTTGGAAATTTGTATCCAGTTCCTGTGTTCTCATCTTTTTTCATAATCCACCTTGACTTTTTCTGTACCTTTTCAGGGAAAGCATTTAAAAATTTTCCTCTTAAATTCCTGAGAATTTAAAAAGCAGCTAATCTATCTCAAGCACTTGCTATATGATGGAAACTGAGCTAATAACCAGCTTAAATATATTGTATCTCACTTAGTTCTCTCATTTCTTTAAGATGTTGGTATTAGTTCCATTTTTTAGATGTTGAAACAGGTCTAAAGTGGCTATAGAACTTTCCAAGATTACAGACTTAAAAGTAGAAGCAAGACTTGAACCTAGGTTTGTCTCATTATAAAGTTAGTATCTACTAAGGTCTTAACAGCTCTTAACACTTGGTATTTGTGCCACACATTCTTGTGTATTTAAAATGAGCAATCGTGTGTGCTATGGATTTGGCTTGCCATGTTGGCCATTTCTTTGCACATGGCTGCCATCTCAGGGCAAGTACAACATGTATCTAATTCAATATTAGGGGGAACTCTGTTAATATTAAATGAGTAGCCTTTGTCTGAGATTCTTCTGCACTTTAGCTTATCTTTTAACACCCAGCACAATGAAAATTTCTTTTCTTAGGCTTTCCTGAAAAACAGTTGCACCTGCCTTTATGTATTTGAAATACTTTGTACCAGCCTCTGATACAGATGAAGGGCAATTATACATTTGTTTGTCTGCCTCTTATATATTTCTAAAAATAGTTATTTAAAAAAGATACATATTTATTGAGATGTAATTTACATGCCATAAAATTTGCTCACATTAAATGTACAATTTAATGATTTTTATTAAATTTATTGAGTTGTGCAACCATCATAAAAATCCAGCTTTGGAACATTTCCATCTTTCCATAAGGTTCCCTCATGTGTATTTTCACTTAAGCCTTGATATCACTGATCAGCTCTCTGCCTCTGCAGATTTACATTTTCTGGACATCTCACATAGGTGAAATCAAATAATAGGTCGTCTTTTGTGTCTGACTTCTTTTACTTCGTGTAATGTTTTTGAGGTTCATCCACATTATGCCATGCATCATCTTTTTTTTTGCTGTGTAGTGTTCTACTGTGTGGATATGCCACATTTACATATTTACCAGTTATGGACATTTGGGTGGTTCTACTTCTTGGCTGCTGTGAACATTTGCATACAAGCCATTGTGTGTATGTTTTTATTCCTCTGAATAGGTACATTGGAGTTGAGCCACATGCCTGTCCTCTGATTCTTTGAGAGCAGGAACCTCGCCTTGAGGTTTTAGCATTGCCTTAGTGTTCTCTGAATTGGCTCATCCTAGCATGCCTGCCACAGCATGGGGAGTGAAACTGATCAGGAAACATTTATGACATAGCCTCATGTTCATCAACCTTTGGTTTTAGATACTAACTCCTCTTTCCCCCCACTTGGAAAGAGTTTTCTTCTTCTCTCAATTCCTTGCAGTCCCAGCAAACAATCCTAATGGTTGTGGGTGGCTTCGATTCTTCTCTCCAGCGTAGCCCCGTGTACAGTCAGAGACAGCACTTGATGCAATGCCACGTTCATAAACAAGCTCATGGTTTATGTACATGGTGTACACGTTATTACTCTATTGACTGTTTCTGGTGAGGTACAGGAGATGAACAGAGTATAAATTGTCCCTTATTCGTGGACTGGATAGAGGTAGGGGAGTTTGGTGGGTGTCTGATGTGATCTACATGAACTCTTGTTCTGAGATTCACATGTCTGTACCCAAGTAAAGTAAAAATGTTTCCCTACCAAAGTAGTGTTTCATTTTAACTAGGAAATGGAAGCCTGATAGAAAAAGAGCTGGGTTCTCTCACCAAAGAAAATGCTATGAAGTCATTAATGCTGTTAAGAGCCACTGACTGCTAAGTAAGAGAGAATAGATGAAGGTCTAAAAAATATTCAACTAGTATAAATGCCTTTGTCTTTTTGACCTCTCTTCTACACCACAAGTCTGGCTTTTCCTGTACCTACCAAGCGAGAATAAACTTTGACTTGCATCAGTTTTCATTTATAAACAACTTGGAATGTAGCCTGTATGCTCACATCACTTGAAGAAATGTTTGCTGACTTTCCTGTAGGTATTGGTGAGACAGGTTTCCTTGTTGTATATTTGACAAACCAAAGGGTATTGTCATCTCTGGGAAGCTACTGTTTTTCACCATCCACCTCCCCAGGGGATAGGACACAGGTTTTTAAGAGAAGGAAATATCATTGTTAAATGTCGAAGTCAAAACTAATATGGTAGCAGAAGGAATTAGATTAAATGAGATCTTGCCGAGAGGCCTGACACATGACACATAATGCTCAATATGGGTTCATTTAATCTAGTTAGGAGCTTCATATTAATAATTGGTCAGTAGTGCTTAAGAGCATGGACTTTAGAGCCAGATGCCCAGTGTTTAAAAAAACAAAACAGGGCCTACTTAACCACATCCAAGCTTTGTGGCCCTTAGCAAATTACCACTCAGCTCTTATAAGCCAGTTTCCTCATGTAAATGCATTGAGGTTAGTAGCCTACCATTGTAACTTTTTAGGGTCACTCAATTTAACTGAGATCATATATTGAAACATAATGCCTGACACATAGTAAGTGGTCAGTAAATGTAAAACACTTAATTTAAAAACAGAAAAACAAAACCAGTTCCCTGAGAGGCTTGTAGACCAGAGCCGTGTTCTCTGACACATGGTAAATGGCCTCATTCCTTTCCATTCAGACTTCACGTTAGCTAGCAACCGGTTTACACCTCTGAGCCTGTTTCCTTTTTTTATATAAAATGGAGTTCATATCTTCCTCAGCATTGGTTTTCATTTCATTCATTCACTGGGTAAGCATTAACTGGTATAATGTCCGTGAAGGCATTCTATAAACCTAAGATTAATACTGGAAGTGAATAGTAAAGTAGTTATGTGTATGCATATTGGTGCCATGTCTGCTATTTCTGCATTGTACTTCCGGACACCGGGAAAGGAGTGCTGTTAAACACACGTTTCCAGTCACACGCTGAGTGGCTGAGGGTAGTGATGGTATTTCTCTTATCCATATTCTGTCTTCAATATTTATCATATAGCAGGTATGTAGCAAATCGACTTGCTGCACATATGATGAATAAGGCAAACTTGGTTTTTAAATCATAATGCTTTATACTTAGTGATGGCGGTCACTTGAAAGTTTGTTGGATAATCCAGTTCACAGATATGACCTGAACACAATGTTTTTGGAAAATACTGAACAGATGGTATAGGACAGCTGGCTTACCCCTTTTTCCTCCTGCCCTCATCGTCTATATCGAGCAGCATTGCTATGATAGTTGCCAAATATTTATGCACTTTCCTGGGAGAAAAAGTTGATTTTAAAATAAGGAAGGTAAGACTTTTGACTAGATAATATTTGTTTGCATACATGTCCTTTTCATGGTAGGATGTTATCTTTGGAGAAGCCTCGGGAGCGAGCCTTCTTCCCTCAGTGCCCTTTTGTAGGAACTGGCACATGACCACTGGAGGCGATGGAGGGGATGGGCTTTGGGTCTGTGGCGCCAGGGTTAAGCTCCTTTTCAATTTATGCCACGTTGACATTTAAATGTCCACTTTAGCATCTTAAGGTATCTGGAGTGATAACTCTACATTCAGTAAAAGGAGAGAAAAAAGTAGGAAAATTGGGACTGCACGATTTCTACAAAAGCATGTTGGAGTCACATAATGAAAAAGCAGATTTTTTTATTATGATGTTTCTCCATATTTGGCATTGCTGTAAATGGCTAACTAACATTTACTGCCAATTCAGTACAAATGTGTGGTTTGATAATACCAGAACAGCAAATTTAAATGAAAAATAAAAGTTAAACATTTCCACACAAGATTTTACAGTCTGACATTTCACTGTGTAGGTAAAAAGACATTTTTTTTTTACTAGAGGTTATTATTCAGCATGAATAAAAAACTACAACTTTTATTTTTAAACAGGAGTCACTGGTTTTAATTTTTACACATTTTAAAATTACTGTGATAAAAAATAATGAAAAAGCTTCTTAATAATGCCATACACAGTATAATATAGATTTGCCCCCATTATATAGCATTTGTTTAATATACAAAATAGAATATTGACACACTTGAATCTATATGTAGTTAAGCAAGTTATTTGAGGAGGGTATTTTCATAGAGCCTTTCATCAGAAAATAAAATCCTCCTTTCAGGCATTTACTAGAGAGAAGCTAATCCTTTCCCAAAAACCTGTTCACTCGTCTTTGGTGGACCAGGCTGACGGATAAGTCTGGGAAATGATGAAACTTCCACTCAAAGTGGTTCAAGTGTCCCCCTTACGCTCATTTTCCTTTCCCCCTCTCAAACCAGGCACATAGAAACACATTCATCTACAGCTACCGTCTTCCGAATGACCAACCAAGATCAGCAAATCTCACCAAGGGCTGCCATGGTTCTTGAATTTTGACAGATCAGAGTCTAATAATATTGTTCATTGCATGATGATGTAGTTTTAGGGTATTTAACAGAGAACTAGAAAACGATAAGACTTAATGATAATAGGTTGTACAGATAAGGACAATTGGCATGGTTCACCCCTCCCACTGCCCAATCCTGAAGTGAGGTCGCTTTCCTCTGTGTGCACGCCCAGAGCTAATCCTGTGCTAGTTATCAGGCTCTTCATGGACACTCACCATGCTGGTTTTCCTTTCGGGCTGCCATCCCCCCCACCCCCCGAGGAGAAGGTAGGTGCTCTTTTAGGGTCCCCTCCTATAGTTTTAGATGATTGGGTATAGATTCCCCCCCAAAAGCACTTGTATAGCATCACACAGCAAGGCCTAAAAACACCAAGAGGATCACTCTTTTTTTCATCAGTAATTAAAAGTACTTTTCAGAATTTGTTGTGAGTCACCTAGGCGTGTCACCAACTCTCACTGAAGTTCTCACTGAAATGAAATCGTTTGCGATGGCAAGATACCACATACAAAGAAAATGAAGCTGCTTTCAAGTAGCACCAGCTTTTTGCACTTAAATCCATAACTACTCAGAAGAACAATATAATTAAGATAACTTTTTTCTTTCTCACATATTCAAAAAGGACACTGCTTTTTCCATTTACTGTACAGCCTCCTATAGTTCTATGAATGTCAGCTGACTTCTTTTTAAGAACAAAGTGCACATACCTTTTTTCACTGAACTCTTTTTAAGAGCCAAGGTTGTTGGGACTAAAATAAGATTGTGTGATGTGCTTTCTGGTTTTAACCATATAACATTCTATAAATGAACAATAATTTATCTTTCAGAAGTTCTTTTTGAAACTTAACACTGTCATTGATGATAATATTCAAGCAGTATTTCTTAGGCACCAAAAATTTCACATCCATCTTAAAATACTTTGAGATCAATTTAAACCATTACAAAAGGAACATTCCCTTTTAGAGAGCATTCAAAAAGCAAATTATTACATTTTTTATTAAATAATTTCTCCAAAATACTGAAAAATAACAAATAACATTCAAAAAGCATTCAAAGAAAACGTCAACATGTCATTTTGTTTGGAAAAGAAGTCTTGTACGATAGAAAGGAATTAGTGTATTATTGGCAACCTATGAGATTCTGCACTATTTACATATTGCTGGTACCTCTATGCGTATTATTGCCAAACTTCTAAAGCCTCTGTTTTTATTAAGCTGTTGGAGAGGCTGTATGTGAAAGTCACCCTGCTATTAGATGGTGCCTGAAGCATGGAAGCACCACCTTTCTGTCTCCGGTTAACACAACTTTAGCACAAAGGGAGACTGAGTAATCTAAACCTGGGTGGACAGACTCACTATTGGAATAAGAAGGGTGGTCATTCTGGGAGGCAGAGGATTACTTCCTCTGATCTGAGTGGGACGGAGCCTCAGCAACCTTCACTGCACACAGGGCCAGTCTCCATCACCTTCTTCCCCTAGGCCTAGAGAAACCTGTTTGGTTTCTGAGACCACTGCTGCCTGTATGAATGCTTGCATACACTATACATCATATAGGTCATCCATCAGCGTTTCTCTGACCCCTACAAAAAATATATAACATGTCGTGATAAAACAATCTCATCTAAAAATCATTCTTATTTTATACTATACAAGCTATTTTACAATCATTTTAATAAATTGCATGTAAAGCTGCAGTAGCCCTTCCCTTCCCAGATTAGTGAATACCAATATGATATATATCTGAAACTAGAACTAAATATAAAAATATATTAGAAGTTTCATACTTTTAATATTAGATTTTTCAGTTTTCTATTACACAAATAATTTGGCCACCTTGAATAGAAATCAGATTTCTTGTGGCTTAGTAAATATAAGTTTTGAGTTTACAGAAAGTTGATAAGGTGCACACAGAAAGGGCTACTACAGCTTCTATCTTGTTTAAAATGATAATTCTTGACAGAAGGAGAAATTCACAAGGCTTTTGTTAAATTCTATGGCACACATAGGGATGTGAGGGGTGTGTAGTTTTACAAACACGGAAGTCTGACATACACTTCTAAACCACAGAAATCAGTAGCTGAGCTTTCCTGGACCACTAGGAAAGAGAGACCAATTATTGACAGATGGGAATGTGAAAATGGGTGTCCTGCCACTTTTGCCATATTAGAGATTGATTTGGGGGAGTAAAGTTTAGTGAGAGGAATTCTTGGTCTGATTAAAATCTCTCAGCTGTGTTTCAGCTAGTTATCTGGAATCATACCTTTTAAGAAGTTATACAAACTACAACAAAAGGTCCTGAAAGACAGTTTATCGACTTTCTTGCCATCTGACTGTTGCAGATTAGATACAGGGCCTCCTGGTAGTTTTTGGGTTTTTTTTTAATTAGTCTTTTGCAACCATCACCCACAGTTTACGCAGCAGGTCACTGGACTAGGTGCTCTACACCAGTTAGGGTGGTTAATTTGCATAACCTATTCTTCACCGAAGTAGATATATACAAAATAAGAGCTTTTTTTTGACAAGAATACTGGAGATTTGAGTCAATTTTTATGGTCTTCTGATGGCAAAGTGCCATCAGGTGAGAAGCACCAACCCATTTTCACACAGAAGATTCATGTTTAGAGTTGATTTAGGAAAGCCATGAACTAGCTGCCCATCTGAAACAGCTGTACAATAACTTGAATACAAAAATTATGTAAGAAAAAAATGAGCAAGCGTAGTTCACTGAATATAAAGGAAATTGTTAAAACCAGACAGTAATAGCTATAAAAGGCACAACTTCCCTTTTCTCATATACACTTGTAAACTTTTTTCAGATTTCCATGCATAAATCAAAAATGCTATCCTAACTATACAGGGGGAAAATACACCAACAGAAAGTCTAGAAAATTTTGTCCAGCCAACTGTGAAAAGTATGAGCAGAAGGTTCATTGCGCAGACTGGGCACTGGTGGTTTGGGTGCCATCCTTCTCTGACAGCGGAGATTAGCCCCCCATCGTTGTTGCTCGTTTCTGGGATCCACCAACTATCAATTTCTACTTTTCCCATCACAGAAAATTGATGGCTCAACTGCTTTTGTTGCCAAGTCTTGGCCCTCTAGAAACCACATGTAGTGCGTATTTAAAACAAAACAAAAACAAAAACCAGACATAAACAAAAAAGGAAAAATAAAACAAAACCACTATTGGACAAATTGATAGTTTGTACAATAAAAGCTATAAAGCCAACTCTCCTTAAGGCAACCTTTCTTGTTAAGGCAGTCACTTTTGATGAAACAGAAGCTTTTTGATATTTCCACTTGAATATTTTGGTAACTGATTGCTGATGATTTCAGCTAACATCTCTGGGAATTCAATACTCAAGGTTTTGTCCAAAAATGTCTGGAAGCAATATTGAAGGAGATTTTCAACCACCTGCGAGAGAAGATACAGTAAATGATTAGTCTTAAAAATTTGAGGGACATCTCATACTTCTTGGCCTTTTTTTTTTTTTTTTTTTATTAAATATCTGACCTGGATGGAATATACCAATCTCTGCTGGAATTTATCATGTAAAAAGAAAAGTTAAATAATATGAGCACTCAGGTACCAAAGACATCTTGAATACCTTAAATTGTATATAATATTATAGGGAATTAAAAAAAGTGTTTCATGATGTACTATAATACCATAATATATGAGGGATGTATTCTAATTTTAGATTAATCATGCAAAAACGGAATTCTACATTTTAAGTAACAGTGCGGTTAAATTCTGTAAACGTAGCATCATGATGTTATATGCACACGATTAGATGAAACTAAATTTCCTAATTGGCCTTAGGAAAAATGTATGCCACACAGAAGTTCACAGCTTGTACTCAAACCATCAATATCCACAAATACAAAAAAAAAAAGAAAAAAGAACTCTTGGTGTATAATTACATACACTATTTAGAACATACTTTATATCCCAGAAAATTCTTCTGATATTTGGATTTGTGTGTGACACTTACCTCATGCATGGAGTCCAAGAGCTTTGTCAGTTGATAAAACCGCTGCCAGTTCTGACTGGAGTTTCCTTCCCGCTTGACAATGGCTTTCCCTAGCTCTTTGATGTAGGTCATTCTAATTTCATCAAACAGCTCTTGGCTCTTCAAACCTTCGTTAGGAACTAAAAGATTAAGATATGGTCAATTAGAGAATTTTCTTGTGATAACTTTTCATATATCCAAGTATTATTCATAGCATACTTCGTGACTTTGTCTATATGCTCTTAATGCACTGTTAAAATATAAGCATTTTCAAAGGACCATGAAACTACAGCCTAAAGAATATGGGATAATGGGAAACTGGAGGACTTGGGTAAATCACTTTGTTTCTCATCTGTAAAAATGGAGCTGGTGGTGACACCTTCCTTTCTAGTTCACAAAGCTGGTTTGAAGACCAAATAAATAATGGCTGTCATTCTGCCCTTCAATTTAATTCTAGTACAGACATATAGAAGGCTTCGACAACAGTATTTATTCCACCATTTCCACCTTGGAATATCTGTGATATCACCAGTCAGTTAGAACATTAAATACATTTTATTACTGTGTTAACATAATGAGCTGATATGAATTTCAATCTAAAAAACCCCCTTTTTTTTAAACATAGCCTATGTATATGCTTATTGGGGAGGAACTATTTGCCTTCCCTATGAACTTAGAAATATAGAAAATACCACATGATTCTGGATCATAAATTTGGTATAAAATCAATTTCTTAATTACTTTTCAAAAACTGATACTAGTAAGAATTGTGAATAGTTAATCATGGTTTCATTTAATCTTACAGAGATTATGGCTTCTGTAAAGTGTTACATTTTCCAAACGTATCCCCCAGGAACTCTAGCTCTGTGTTAATAACGGTTGGGGGAAAAGGCTTTGGTGGTCAAGATTTACGCATAGCTAAACGTTTAATACAAAGTGGGGCAGATTTCTGGATTTCAGGATTTCTCAGCGCATAGAGGAAAAGCAGTGGATTTCAGAGCAAGAAGTCTTAATTTAATTCATACTTGCCCTGTGGATTTGTTTCCTACTCTGTCTTTCTCACTGGATTAAAATTTTTTTATTTTTTAAAATTTAGACATAATTGTCATTATCTTCATTTCAGGTGTACAACATAATGATTAGATATTTGGATATACTGCAGAATCACTACAATGTCTAGTTAACATCATTACCATGCATTGTTACAAAAAAAAGTTTTTCTTGTGATGAAAATTTAAGATTGACTATTTTAGCAACTTTCAAATATACAATACAGTCACCATGCTGTACATTATATCCTGAGTTCATTTTATTGCTGAGTTTGTACTTTTTAACCCACTTCACCCATTTCTCCCACCCCGGCCTCTGGCATCCACCAGTCTGTTCTCTGTATTCATGAGCTTGTTGTTGTTGTTGTATTAGATTCCACATGTAAGTCAGATCATATGGGTTATTTGTCTTTCTCTATTTCACTCAGCATAATTCCCTCAAGGTTGTCCATCCATGTTGTCACAGACGGCAAACTTCATTATTATGGCTGAATAATCCATCACACACACACACACACACACACACACACACACACACACGTGTATAGTTATGTATCACATTTTCTTTATCTGTTTATCCACTGATGGACACTTAGGTTGCTTCCATATTTTTGCTATTGAAAATACTTCAGCAATGAACATGGGAGTACATTTATCTTTTTGAGTTAGTGTTTTCATTTTCTTTGGGTAAATACCCAGAAGTGGAATTAATGGGTCATATGGTAATTCTGTTTTTTTTTTTTAAAGATTTTTATTGGGGAATTGGGATGGGAACAGCGCTAGGGAATTGGGGGAAGGGTAACAGACAAGTTGCTGTCTTTTTTGTTCTTCAGTCTAGTTGTGGAGGATGTTGCTTCACTGGCCCAAGTTGGCACCATCATTGCGCTCTTCCCGGGTGAGGCAGATCAGTTGCCTGCTTCTGGATGACCGCTCACTGCGGCTGCTGGCTGCTCACTGCGGCTGCTGGCTACACACGGTAGCCCATGGCAACCCACTGCAGCAGGGGCTGCAGCCTACCCTTGTCGCCAGCAACTCATGGCAGCCCAGCTCCAGGTTGAGCTGTTGTTCAGCATCTTAGCTGTGGAGGGCAGTGTCACAGGCCCTCATATGTGGGATCTGAACCGGGAACCTCTGGCGTCTCAAGCCAGTTCTTAACCATCGTGCCACTCGGCCGGCCCTGGTAATTCTGTTTTTAATCTGTTGAGGAACCTCCACACTGTTGTTTGTAGTGGCTGCACCAGTTTACCTTCCCACCAACAGTACGTGAGGGTTCCCTTTTCTCTACATCCTTCTCCAACACTTACTTCTTGTGTTTTTGATGATAGCCATTCTTAGAGGTGTGAGGTGATACCTCACTGTGGTTTTGATCTGCATTTCCCTGATAGTGGTGGTGACCACCTTTTCATATACTTGTTAGCCATCTGTACGTTGTTTTCGGTAAAAGGTCTTCTGCCCATTTTTTAATTGGATTGTTTTTTGGCTGTTGAGTTGTATGAGTTCTTCATGTATTTTGGATGTTAATCCCTTATCAAATATATAATTTTCAATGTCTCGCATTTGGCAGGTTGCCTTTGCTGTGCAGAAGCTTTTTAGTTTGAAATGGTCCCACTCATTTATTTTTGCTTTTGGTGTCAGGCCCCAAAAAAATCACTGCTAAGATCAGTGTTCAAGGAGCATACCACCAATGTTTTCTTCCAGGAGCTTGTTGTTTTAGGTCATAGATTTAAGTCTTCCATTCTAAATATTTGTGTGTGGTGTAAGATAGTGATCCAGTTTCATTTTTTTGCGTGTGGCTGTTCAGTTTTCCCAACGCCGTTTATTGAAGCCTGTCCTTTCCTCATTGTATATTCTTGGCTCTTTTTCATAAATTAACTGACTATAAATTTCTAGGCTCTCTATTCTGTTCCATTGATCTATGTGTTTATTTTTTCACCAATGCCATACATACTGTTTTGATTACTATAACTTTGTAGTACTATTTAAAACAAGGGATCGTGATGCCTCCAGCTTTGTGTTTTGTTTTCTTTTTATTTTTTCTTCAAGATTGTTTTGGCTATTCTGGGTCTTTTGTGGTTCCATACAAATTTTAGGATTGTTTGTTCTATTTCTGTGGAAAACACCATTGAAATTTTGATAGGGATTGCACTGAGTCTATAGATTGCTTCAAGCAGTACGGACATTTTAACAATATTCTTCCAATCCACGAGCACAGAGTATCCTCCCATTTATATCTCCTTCAGTTTCTTTCACCAGTGTTTTCAGTGTACAGGTCTTTTACCTCCTTGATTAAATTCATTACCAGGTATTTTATTCTTTTCATTGCAATTGTAAATTGAATTGTTTTTCCTAATTTCTCTTTCTACTAGTTTGCTATTGTATAGAAACACAACAGATTTTTGTATATTGATTTTGTATCCTGCAACTTGACTGGATTTGTTTATTGGTTCTAACAGTGTTTTGGTGGAATCTTTAGGGTTCTCAATACACAATATCACGGCATCTACAAATAGTGAGTCTTACTTCCTCCTTTTCTATTTGGATGCCTTTTATTTCCTTTTCTTGTCTTAGTTGTTCTGGCTGTCCAAGGCATTGCTGAGTAAAAGAGGTGAGGGTGGGCATCTTGTCTTGTTCTTGATCTAGAGAAAAAGCTTTCAGCTTTTCCCCATGAGTATGATGTTAGCTGTGCATTTGTCACATATGGCCTTTACTTAATGTTGAGATATGTTTTCTCTGTACCTCACTTTGTTGAGAGCTTTTATCATGCATGTTGAATGTTGTCAAATGTTTTTTGTGCATCTACTACGAGGGTCATATGATTTTTATCCTTCATTTTTTAAAATGTGGTATCACTCTCACTGGATTTTGATTAGGATTAGAACAAAGAACACATATGAAAATGTTTTGATTCCATAAAGCAATACTTAGCACTTCTGAGATGTCAGTATTAATGTGAAAATGAAGGCCACTTAATCAGGAGTGGTAAAAACCTATAGTAAGAGCCTACCATGTTAGTGATGGATTAATTTCACACATTAGTTATGTTACAGATAACTTATTTATTGCTAATTTTAAAAATAGTGATTATTTATAATTTTCTTCCTGCTGGTTACTGTAATTCTAAAATGATATGGGAGAAGCCATATTCAACATTTATATTAAAAAGAATTTCATCCATCCCAAATTATGCTCGTAGTTCCATGAATTTTTGCTTTATGTAGTTGGAGGCCATATATTTAGAATTATTTTCCTGGTGAATGCTTTATGTAATGGGTATTTTTAAATATAGAATATTTTTTTTTTTTGCCTTAAACTCTATTTTGATAATAATGTAGCTGCTTCAGCTTTATTTTGGTTAAAGCAGCGGTCAGCAAACTATGGCTTGTGGACCAATCCCACCTGCAACCTGTGTCTGTAAATAATGTTTGACTGGAAGCCAGCCAGGCCAGTTTTCTTTAAGTATTGTTGTGACCGTGTTCGTGCCACAAGGGGAAGAGTTGAGTAGCTATAACAGACTGTACGGAAACCTAAAAACCATCTGGCCCGTTATAGAAAAAGTTTGCCATCACTGGGTTTTACCATGTATAAGTATATCCTTTTACTTCAGCCATTAAATACCTTTATTTAGATAGCTCTCTTGTGAAATTGCTGATATATTTGAATTTATTTGTACCACCTATTTGTTACTTTCTCTTATAATGCTTTTTGTTTATGCTTCCCCCCCCGCCCCCTTTTCTTTCATTGTTTTGGGTTTTTTCTTACCACATTATCCCCCTCCCAATGGTTTAATATGCTGTATATTATTTTTATTTCCAGTTGTCATCCTTTAACTCTCATTCTTAATTTATCAGTCTCATTTTTGATTGCCTGTAATTATTGTGTACTTTAGTTCTAGTTTTTTAAACCACCAAAGACAATGTTACATTTAAACTAACATTTACTGTATAAAATAACAGTATCTACATATTTACCACTTTGCTCTTTTTTCCTTCTTAAAGATGGGATTACTTTCCCTTAGCCTAATGTCTTTTGAGAATACTTTATTGAGGATCTGTGGTGGCAAATTTTATTTTCACCTTCATTAAAAAAAAAAACTATTGGTATATTTAGACCATTCAAATGTAAAGCAATGTGTGATATATTTGGATTAATATCTACTATGTTTGTAACTTCTACTCACTGCACTTGTTTCCTCTTTAATCTCTTTTTCTGCCTCTTCTAGTTTTCATTGAGCATTTCATATATTTTTTCTTTCAGTATACCAATTACTACTTCTATTTAAAATTGTCTTTAGCGGTTGCCCTAGAATTTGCAGTATACAACACAGGCGTTGAACAAGGTGGGCATTGGCGTGCTGACCCACCCCGTGCAATCGAAAAGCCACATAGAACTTTGGATTCAAGAGTTAGCCCTTTGTATCCACCAATTCAACTAACTGCGGTTGGAAATGTAAAAATAGTTTTGATCTGCGGTTGGTTGAATCTGAGGATGTGAAACCCATGGATACAAAGGGCCAACTGTATTTATTGAAAAAAATCTGCATAAAAGTGGGCCTGCACAGTTCAAACCTGTGCTGTTCGAGGGTCATCTGTAATCTACATCTCCTTTCAAATACTACTACGCCACTTCGGGTAGCACAGGCTCCTTAAAACAGCGCGTTCCCAATTCCTGCCTTCCATCCCTTTTAACACTGCTGTCATTCATTTAACTTATCCATATGTTGTAATTGCCCACTATACTGCTGTTATTAAACAGTTATGTGTTAGATCAATTAAGAAAAATAAAATTTCATCTTCAACTCTTCCTTCTCTAGCACCCTTCCTTTATTTAGATCCACGTTTCTGACCTGTACCATTTTCCTTTCCTCTGAAGAACTTTTTTTAACTTTCTATGAAAGGCAGGTCTACTAGTGACTAATTCTCTCAGTTTTCATTTGTCTTGATTTCCTCTTTATTTTTGGTTTTCTGCAGTTTGAGTAAAATAGGCCTAGGTGTACATTTTTTGGTACTTATCTTTGGTGTTTTCTGAGTTTCCTGGATGTGTATTTTGGTGTCTGTCATTAATTTTGGGACATTCTTAGCCATTATTACTTCAAATATTTTTTCCATTCCATTATTTGTATGTTACACCTTTTGTAATTTCCCTACTGTTCTTAAATGTCTTTTTTTTTTTTAATTCTTTTTTCTCTCTCATTTGAGTTTGGTAACTGGCTATTGACTGTCTTCAAGCTCAGTGATTCTGCTTGGTCATGGCCAGTCTACTGATGAGACCATCAACAGCATTCTTCATTTCCTTTCCAGTATTTTTAATTTCTAGTATTTCCTTTTATTTCTTAAAATTTCCATCTCTCTGCTTACATTACCCATGTGTTCTTGCATGTTGTTTACTTTTTCCATTAGAGCCCTTAACATATTAATCAGTTATTTTAAATTCCCTATCTGATAATTACCACATCTGTGCCATGTATCTACATCTTGTTCTTATGTTTGTTCTGCATTTTTCCTTGTAGTTTTTCTGCTGAAAGGTGGAAATGATGTGTCGAAACTGAAGTAATTAGGCTTTCAGTGTGAGATTTTTATGTTAATCTGGCTATGGGACTGGGCTGTGTTAAATGTTTGCTGCAGGCGTTAAGAGGTTTCAGTTTCCTTGTTTTTATCTTCCCCGCCCCCCCCCCCTCCTCCTTGGCCTTGGGTTTCCCTAAGAACTTCTTAAGTAGCTGTGCTGTGCAGCTCTCCCCACTGTAATCCCGCTATTATACTGCAGCCCTGCTGATATGGTGGGAAGGTGCTGGGGGTGGGGGCTGTTTTATGCCTTTACGACATATATATCAGTTTTTTAGTAGGCCCGGTCGGTCCCGGGGCTGTGTACTTCAGAAGTGTTTCTGAGTTTTTGTTTTTGTTTTTTTCTTCTCCCTTATATGATAATTCCAGCCCCCTTTTTCTTTATCTATTGGTCCTTCCCCCAGGTCAGATAAAGCTCTGTTGCAAGTTTCCCTTTAGAGGGCAGAAACATGAGGGGCTCTTTCTCTGATCTTCACCATGAGAACATGGTCGGGCTTCTGGAGGTAAGCTCCAAGGAAGTATGGGGGGACACCCCCTCCCCCCAAAGACTGGGTCCCAAGAGTTTTTAACTCTCCAGCTATTCCTCATTTGGTCTCCAGAATTCATCAAAATTACCGTAAGTGTTCCTACCAGTTACTGGCTGTAGTAGCTGCTGTTCCCAGTAAGCTGACCTTGACTGTGCTTTTCTGTATTGGCTTGTTTCTCTAGATTTTGAGGTGGTCCTTTGCCTTGTGACCTCAATTCTCTCATGGATCTAAGAGAAGGCTCTATTTTCAGTATGTTCAGCTTTTTCTTGTTGTGAGGATAGGTGTGATAACTTCCAAGCTGTTTACTTGTCAGAACTGAAATTGGAAGTCCATTTTCATTTTTTTTCCTTACCATTTTGAAAAACATCATTCCATTTTTTTCAATTGCTGTTCCATTACATTGCCTCTCCTTTGAAGATTTTTTTTCTCTGCCTGTTCATTGATTTTCTGATTAACCTTTCTGTTCAGTCAGCTGGATTTTATTAATATACTATGTGGAATTCATTGCACTGCCTGGATATAGGGTTTGGTGTCTTTTAAAAGATTTAGCCATTATCTCTTTGTATAATGTCTTTTCCTGTTGTTTTTCACCTTTCATTTTCTGATCTCTGATGATTATGTTAGACCCGAGCTTTTTACAGCTGGTGTACTGTGAATGTGTTAAGGTAATGATTTGCTATGCTGGTTGCAAGCTGCCTTATTCATTTGCCACAGTGTGCTATGCTGTACAAATGCTATTTTTTATGTTCATTGTGACATGAAAATTTGAAGTTGTGAAGCATTGTTTCAGACCTCCCTCAGTCATGCCTCTTAGCCTTTCATTTACATACATACATACCACACACATGCATTTAACAATTGTATTTCGCTATTTGTACAGATTTATTATTTCAGCTGAATTTATTTCAGTTTAAATATCTCTTGAAATGTGTCTAACATGTTTAGACCCATCCATTGTTTTTTCAATTTCAATTGTATGTCCAACCCTGTCTTTAAAACTACTAAATACACTAACCAGGCTCTGCAAATACCCTCTAAGAGAAAGCTAGCTTCAGAGTGCAGCTTACCCCCCTCTGGGTTCCCGCCTGCACTTAGATTAGGGTACTACTCCACTAATCTATCAGAGTAGTAGAAGTCGAATTATATCTTAAGGTACATATTGTCATCCTTGTGATTCCATATACATCTAGCTCAGTGAGTCTGGTATGTATAAAACTTTAACCATCATTTTTTTTACTTATTAGAAGATTGATAATATCCAGGTATAAGTCAGGGCCAAAATACGAACCAATCAAAATCATGATCAGAACTTCGTTTACTCATATAATACCAAGCTCACTTCTTTGACGAGTGTACTGCTGTGGGTAACCTTAAGAGTCTCTAGCAATAATCTTTACCTTTAGATTTTTTTCATGGGTTATGGAAAATTCTCTTGCTTTAATATTATTAATACTCCTTAAAACCATAAACATGGGACAACTTTGTGTAGAACAAAGATAGTATGAAAGCTGAGTTACTGCAACATCCAGAGCTTAAAGTTATTTGACAACCTGGAAACCACAATTACTAAGGAACAGACTTTTAAAATTGCAAATGTATTTATTGTATGTGGAAATAGTATTATTTTACTGGAATGGCCTAAAGTTTATAATACCTACTGGCTCACATTCTTTTATTAGTAGTTTAGAATGCCATATTTTCACTAATACAGACAGGATCCTTTATATTCTTCAAAAACTTTCTAATTTTAACTAAATAATGTCTCTGCTAGCTGAAAGTAGTCTCACTGAAGTTTATATACCAATAACTTGATCTAACCTTTGAAGGTTTTATAAACCCTTGTTGCTGTTTTCTAGATAGACTACCTCTGCCCAACAGTCCAACTCTAATGCTGCATTAACCAATAGAGGAAGTCACCAAGCACACCTTTTGTGGGGTGTGTCTTGTCTCCTAAAGGTGTTAGCAAAGCTCACAGGAAGAAAGGAGGAAATCTGTGCATTTTCTAGATCACCAGAGACCCCTGTGCAGCTCATATACCTATTTCTCCATGACATCTGTCTTATTAATCTTGGTCTCATTGGCTGTGCCTTTCTAAAATTGCACATTGATGAAAATCTATCTGACTAGCAGGAGATAGTAGTAGACTTGGTATAATTATTAGTGCTATGCATACAAATGAACCTTTGTTTCTATATTTCATGCTTTTGACATATTTAGAAGTGAATATGTGTTCTACAAACCTGAAGAGAGAAGCAGTAAGGTTTTCATACAGAGATACTCTTCATAAGATACCTGAAGCCTGTGTAACTCAGAGGAAACAAATAGCATATGTTTACATTGGTCATACATGCTGGGTAGAGTCATCCTCTGCCTGTGAAAGACAAATATCAGTGTTTGAATTAGAAAGAAATAGTGCTTGTTCCAGAAAAGTACATTTTTTTTTTTTGGTTTTATTTTGCAAAACTGAACTCATAAAGAAAAACCTGACTATTACTATGAATGCTAATTCCCCCCAGATCAGAATTTTGGATACGTTCCTTAAACTCATTCCTGGGTTTAGAGCATCTGAAAAGACTACTGAATAACCTAATTTTACTTTGGAGAAATTATTTATCGTGCATGCCATGTATTATTTATTCTGCAGAATTTATTACCACTTGCTCATTTAAATCAATGTTTTATGGTAGCATTTGAATATGGCCAACTAGACCACAGTTTTAGAGCCTATCATTTAAAAGTCAAGGTTTTTTTTCTTCACAGCATTCCATTCGAAAAGCAACTGTAAGCAATACTGTTTATAGTTACGCAGAGGGTCAGAACTAGAATTCGACTCTAGTAGGCTTTCTGAAACCCCAAAATCTGCCTCTGACAGACAATGTGTGACTGAATCTTCTCCTAACTAAAGGTACCAAATAAATTCTCAATTCGGATTCTAAATAGTCATGATCACATCTACAATTTTCAAATAGGTCTCTAAGGTTTCCTAGTTTTTTAAAGGATGCTAAGAGCCTGAAATTGTGCCCGGTTCATGGTTTTTAAAATACTTCAAGTTTCTAACCGAAAGTGATCTTGGACTTAACAGAGAAAATAGAAGGGTTACTTTCCTATAAAATAAACCAGACATGAATTGTATACTGATAAAGCGATTACAGAGGAGTTCACATGACTCTTCAAATTTAAAATCTGCTCTTCCAAAGAGGCACCCTCCCCATCTTCCTAACAGCAATTAAGCATTCCTTTTCTGGGAGGTATCTTTTTCTCCTTTACTTTCTTAGCATGGTAGTTTTGACAAAGTTATAGTGTAGTAAAGTAAGAAATCATTCTAGTTGGCTGTAAAAAACCACCACATTCTGACCTAAGGACAATGATGAGAGACTTTTACAGTTACCTAGATGGTCAGAACTTGAATGTACACTTTCTGACAGCCCAGGTCTGCCTATCACAGACACCAGATCAGCATGGAAACGGTGAGCTGAACGACAAGAGCAGGAGGCCTGCCCAGCTCAACACACACACACAGAGTGTGACGTCAGAACGGCCTCTTCCAAACGAGTGTTCGCATGAGCCGTTTATCCTCCAATAGAGCTGAGAAAATTTTTTTCTATAATTCCTACTTTAGGTAAGGAACGTAGGTGGCAGGATCGGGTTATGCTGTGACTGTTTAAATCTAAATTTGAGTGTTGCCAAAATAAAAACTCTGAATTACATAAATTTTATAAAAGGGTAAATTGGTATTTCGTATAACTGTCCACTCGGTTTTAACCGCAATTAAATTACTTCAAATTCCTTTTTAAGAAAGTGACCATAAATAAGCATGGTTGGATTCTGAAATGAGGAACAAGTATTTAGAGATTTTAAATGTCTTTGAGTTTACATATAAGCTACATATATTTATCAGTTAATTTATAATTTGATCATACAACTTGAATCTGGTTCAATTGTGAGGCAGTGGTTTGAACTGTCCTCTTTTTGGCAGCAGTCCAGGTGACTTCTTTCTCTGACACAGGCACCTTGAGTGTCTGTGTGGAGACCTGACCTGGTCTGGCCAAGCACGCGGCTGTGCCTGTTAGCTGAGGACAGAGAGGCGGCCCTTTCTGGGTCTACAAAGGTTGCAGTATGTAGATTTCACATGCTTCTTGTCATCTTGTTTCTCACTATGAGGCTTGGTCTTTCTCTTTCAGGTCTCACTTAGTTCAAATAACACCTCCTCCAAGGAGTCATTAGCTGCCCTATCTGAAACAGACCTCTCTCTAGTAAAAACTTGGAGTCTGAAATTATTTTATTCACTTGGTGGTTATCTGTGTCTCCCCAGCTAGTTAGTGTGTAAGTGGTAAAGGTGAGGAACCTTGTCTGTCTTGTTCTCTGGTATACTCGTAGTTCTTCGCTCATATGCACCAGGCAACATACTAGGGGGATGATGAGTATTTCTTGTCCATTTTCCATCATGTTACCCTCATGAAACCCTTCACTGGTTTTTTGCTCCTAGAATAAAATCTAAACTCTTATCAGGGCCTACAAGAGTCTGCTTGACTCCAACCCTGTCCACTTCTCTAAACTCACTCACACAATCTTCTCCGTGACTCTCTCTTAGTTCCTCACATATGCCATGGTTCACACTTAGTTCTTCTGGCTGGGACGCCCTACCTTTCTCACAGCTTGTTCTATTTATTGCTCATCTCTTTAGATCTTCCGTGGTCCCCAAATCTCATGTAGCACATAGCCCTCTCCCTGCCCCTCAGTCACAGTATTATATCATGACCACAATTATGTGGGTCATTTATTTGATTTTCCCATCGAATGTTGGCAGGGGCTTCATGTGTTGTGTTCACTATTACAGCTCAAACTCCTAATATAGCGTCGGACACTTGGTAAGTAGTCATACACCACTGAGTGAATACTGTGTTGGAAGAGAAACACCAAATAGTTCAGCAGCCTACTAGAGGATACCTGAAATCTCTGCTTTAAATGGTTCCCATTTATTCTGCCAGATACATGGTCTTGGAATTACCTAGTAGTACTACAAAAAGGATCTGTCCTCAATCTAGAATGACTGCCCTACTTGCAGCTTCTTGCATAATAGCTAAGAATTTCCTTTGAAATCCCTGACTTGCCAGCTGACTATATCATAAGGCAGCCCCTCCCACTAACACCCAGCTCAGACAGACGCTTTTCTGTAATTTCTACCCATCCTTTTTGAGCCTGGCACACCCAAGAGATAACAGAGTGTTTGCTTTATCTGCACAGAGTATCTCTAGGCTGTCCTCACTGCTCTCAAGTCTAGTTTCTCTTTCCTCCAAATATCTCTTTCATCAACTGATGTTACTTTCCAAACTCCTTGTCCCTTTAGATATTTAAAGTTGTCACTGTTACTTTTAATATGGCATCCACAACTGAACACAAAGTACTAGTGATGCTTGACTCACATAGAGTGCAATGCAACTATTTTAATGTGGTTTAAGATTTCATTAATTTTTTGAAACCCTATCAACAGTAAATACCCAGAGCTCACAATTAAATAAATATCCATCTTTTTTTACACAAACACCAATCCTCTTCATTTTTCACTCTAAGACCATGGGTATGCGAGTGTGTGTGAACTCCGTTTGTATTCTAGTAAAGGAGGCTAGCTGTGGGCACAAGTAGTAATGCAAGGTAGACCGTGAGAAGAGCTTGGTTGGGATCTATAACAGAGCGGTCTTATGTAGTGACATGAATGGCATATGTTTGAAGAATGGATCCCCGGAGTGGGAAGGATGAGTGTGTGAGGGCCGAGAGGCGGAGGGAGGCCAGGTCTGGAAAGCCCGAAAGCGTGCTCGTGTGCTGGCCGGTCAGTGAGGAGACAGAGGACATCTGTGTGTTGGGGAAATAGGTGATATGATCAAACTCGGCTTTAGGAAGAAAAACTAGTCAGCACAATGGAGGATACATTGGTAGCAGAAAAAGAGCTCGGAAACGATGTCAGTGAGGTAAGGGAAGGGGGAATGGACACCGGAAGTATTCATTCCTTCCTAAACCACCTAAACCAGAGAAGAGCTGATGGATAGTCTTCAAGTTTGGTTGCTTCTCTCCCAATTAAAGTAATTCTTGTTCCCATGTTCTTTCCAAGTCATAAATATCGAGTGAGGCCCATGCAGAGACACCTCTTGTTTCTGGTCTGCACCCTCCACCCCTCAGCCTACCTGTCCTCATCTGTGATGATCCCTACTGAAGTGACATCAACCGGAATTGAATTGTATCATGCTCCTTTTCCTTTTTGGAATAGGGTTATGTAATTAAGACCATGCCACCACAAGGTTCCTTTGTACTTGCTGCAAACTTGACCCCCGAGATGCTCACTCTTTAATACCGTTAAACACGTCCTGGGACAGTAAGGCTGCCCCAGGTACATTCGCTGCACATCATAGCTGGCAGCACCGACTCAGTCCTGAATTATCACAGTAGCAGCAGTGTCCCAGGAAAATATCAGCTGGTTAAAAATACTATGAATACAGGTAAAATGACTCACAAATGACTTACTCATTAACAACCAAATCAGGAGCAAAACACAGCAAGTTTGCACTTGTTTGTCTGTAGGATCTCCATCCCAGGGCAAACGCCATGAGGAACATCCATGAATATTGCAGTAGGGTCATTTGGTCATCCAGGTGTAAGTTCCTGAATCCTAAATTAAGAGAAATAAAGGTGTGAGGAAAAGCTGGTGATACCAAAGACCGCATATGTATTAGCTTTGTTTTGGGGGACTGCTAACAGAGGAAATGGAGCAGCAAATGGTCTCAGTGTTCAAAAACAAGCCCGCTTTTCTCACCTTTTGCCTATTGAAGTAAAGAAACTAAATAGTAAAGCAGCAAGCCAGAGTCCTGGCTTGGGAGTCCTGGTTTGGGACAGTATTCATTTAATGAATTCAACGACAAATTTCTCCTGATATTTAGACCTCTCTCCCCCTTGAAGGGTAGGGCAGATAGGAGGTCAGGTCACTTCATCCAAGTTTTGTCTCTAACCAGTTCCCCTCTAACATGGACCTGTGCTATTCCACATTAAGTTCCGAAAGGGGAACTTTTATTTCAAACTATCGTAAAAGTTAAAATTTACATTAAATGTGCACCATTTTATGGAGTGAAGAGTTGAAATCATTCTACGTCAGTATGTTTTGACAAAGTGTCACCATGCCTGATTTTTCCCAATTTTACAAATAACCTGATTTTTAAAAGTGATACATTGAAGGGAAATACATTTTCTTCCCCCATTTAACTATAAAAGTATGAAATTCTAATTCTTATATCTTCCTATCTGAAATGACTATGCTTTGAGTAATAATCTGTAAAGCAGGGAGCAGTGTAAAAATTTTATTACAGACTCTTCCATATTTACCTGGCTCTTCCCCATAACTGAGTATGAAAAACAATATACATCATGGGACCCGGATGATAAAGAACCAGAGTGTTTCTGTTTAAGAAACAGATCATGGTACAAAAGAACAAACTCTGGTTGCCAGGGGAGGTGGAGGATGGATGAAAACAGTAAAGGGGAGTAAGATGTACAAACTTCCTTATAAAATAAGTCACAGCGATAGAACACACAACACAAGATAGAGTCAACGACATCTTACTTTGTATGGTTACAGATAAAGTTACTAGACATATGGTGGTGATCACATCGTAAGGTGTAAAAATGTAGAATCACTGTGTTGTACACCTGAAACTAATACAATAGTGCATGTCAACTCTAATTTAAAGGAAGGAAAATACAAAGGTTTGTGCCTTAGCTGTGTCATCTTTTGCATCTTACCTGGTATCGCCTTTGCCCATTTCACGGCTGCAATCACTTGCCGTCCACCTAACATGTTAAGTGTGGTCATGATGCGCCACGAGGAATCTGGAACGGTGCTGTCATACCCCGCGTATAACACCTCGGGCTCAATGACTTCCAGCAGGGACACCAGGGTAGGGGTGAGCTGCGGCAACGCTGCAGGAACTATTGTTTTGTTAGGATTTTCAGCAGTTTCTTGGGAGGTTCCTGCAGTGGCCTGCTGAATTCCTTTTATCTTTTTCTTTGTTTTTCGAGCTATGGGTATTTAAAAAATATACAGAAAAGAGTTGCAGTGAGAAGGTGTCGGTGGAACAGTTTATTCAAGAGGTATTTTAATTCCTGAAACTATTTAGAGTGAAAGAGGAGAAATGTTTTATTTAGTAATTGTGATACAGTGACATGGAATAAGAGAAAAGAACATTTTTTTCTGAAACCAAAGGACAAAGAAACCTATTTGTATATTAATTTCCTCTACAAATAAGCCAGATACTTTTTTTTATCACAGTTAACACTTTCTACAAAATTATCTTACAGTACTATGTTAAAGCAATCTAAACAAATCACTTCCGTAGATTAATTTCTGTCTCACTTTAACTCCAAAGTCAAAATTTTCATTGGTTATATAAGACAAATTACTTTTACTATCAATTGAAAGACAGAATTTAAGCTTGTAATACCAGACTAGAAACTGTGGCTAAAGGTTATCCTAAATTATGGGGAGATACACACACACACACACACACACACACACACACACACACACACACACATATATATATTAAATTTATATATATATATATAGAGAGAGAGAGAGAGAGCTACATATATACTATTTATAGTTTTGCACATAGCCCCCATTTTGTCGAGATAGGAAGATGACATAGCAGATCACATGCTAAAGGTAGTATTAGTTCTAACAACGCACAAATTCACTATTTTTTTTAAACCTGTATTGATAGGTACTTTGGATTAGAAACACTTGGAGAGATTAACATTTCTTCACATAAATTATTAATTTCCTTTATGAGTTCTAGTGATGATTCTACAAACTGAAAGCATCCATTTTCATATTATATAATAAAGTAACTAAAGCTCTTTTATCTCTGACTTAGTGTGGGGAACAGTGTAATCACATTACAACATGGATTCTGTTAGATTTTTTTTTTTAGTAAATGTAGTCCTACTCTTTGTTTTAGAGACAAGTAAGAATTCTGTATTGTTCTTTTTTAGTAGATGTGCTGCCAAACAAGCATAGAATTACATAGTATTCTTAAAGAAAGTGCTCAGAGCTCCAAGGAATGTAACTGACATGAAGAAATGTACATGCTTTAAGTTACCAGAGATGCCAGCCATTTTGCTAAGGGAAAAAGTATATCCTAACCACCTTTAAAATAAGCATTAGACCCTCTGTCCCTAAAATGACAAAATAGTTTGTGGAGGATAGGTATGTACCTCAATGTCCAGCGTTAGTTAGAAAGGGAGAAAAAAGTTTCCATTGGTAGAATGGCCCCATTTCTTATTGTTCTGAAGGTGGTACTGAGAAACTTGAAGGCTTTTTAGTTAACAGGATCCTGACAGATCTCCTTTATTCTACCACAGTCTGTTGGAGACCTAGTGTGGTAATTTTGTAAAAAGCATAAATCTGAAACCAACATGCTTGAATTTTAGGTATCTGTGCAAGTTATTCCTTGGGCCTTAGTTCCCTCTTCTGTAAAATGAGAATAATAGTAGTACCTACTTCATAGGGTGGTTGAGAATTAAATCAGGTAAAATGTGTTAGATGCTTAGAACAGTTCCTGGCACACATTAAGTGCTGTGAGAAACTGGTAGTAGAACACGGTTTTAGAATATTTGAATTCGGATAATACTGGTCTTACAGAGGAGTGATCAAGTTTTAAAAAAGAAGAACTCCTATACATAAGGAAACCCTTTAAACAACCAAAGGTTTCTCACTGAAATGCAGATCTCAAAATCATGGAATGTTGACACAGTAAAAGAACATGTGTGGCCCATATCAATATCCTGAAATAGTAGTTAGAACCTCAACTAACCATAGCTTTCGATTGTCTAGAATCTGTGTTCCTACATTCCACATTAAAACAAAGAGGAAAGGATAACGACAAGCTGAAGGGCTTTAAAACATCTTCTATGACTCAGTATATAATTATTTAATTTCTTACTATTTAGCTATAGTCCTAAATGAGAGAACTGATACTTCTGAATAAAGCTCAAATAGCACACTGTGTCGTACTGACTTTAGCAAGGAGTTTTTAATTGAATTAGTTAAGATTTTTACTCTAGTAAGTTTGTGACCCCTTGGAGCACATAGGTTAGTCAATATATGACCTCTATTGAAGTGTTCATGACTCTGATAGCTCCACGTCTGTCTTCATAAAATATTAGGTATGAAATCTGATAATGCCATCAGCCTCCAGGTTCCACTTGACTATACCAAAAATACAGCTATATTTTGGAATGGTTACAATACACCTTAAAATGAAATAAATAGGCAACATTTGGGATCACCATTAAACAACTTATCTGTACTCAAATGGTAGGCACTTTAGGCAGTGAAGAAGGTGACCTTAAAGTAAATCTTGAGAATTACTTAGTACTGGGCAACAGTATCAAAATACACCACTTGTGGGACTGAGTCACATTTATGGAGGGAGCTGGGCAGGGAGAGCTGATTGCTTCTGCAAAGTTACTCCGGGGCTGTCATGAAACTGCCTGGCTTAGGGGATGCGCTCCGATGTGCACTAGAATATTTCTAAAGATTATACAAAAATAAGCATGAATTAAAGGATTATGTCTGCCAGACATTTCTGGCATACACACATATCTACTTCAAATAAAGGTTTCATACATACTGGAATAATTTTTTTTTAAAAATGAGGCTTGTACACTCAAACCACACATAAAAAAACTCATGATTTTTTAAAGCCTTTCCATTTTTCTACACATTATCAACTGCATATGTGCTACTGAATATCTTAAGAAATTATTAAATGACAAACTAGACTTTGTAGGCACACCCATAAATCTATTTTCTATTTGGATACACATGCACAATGTGTGCTAGACAGCACCACCAGTTAGTTCTTCTATCAGAAGATAGAAGAACCGCACGCCTCCCGTGCTCCCTCTCGCGTCAATCACCGTGTCTTAGCCAGGGTTCTTCTACGGTTGTTTAATTGGTCTCTCTATCCAAGATCAGTCTTTCTGCTCATTTCCCTGCCCTCATGTTCACCCAGTTCCTACTCAGCTTTTCTCAGATTTAAAATTCAGTGGTGCTTCCAGGACAGAACTAGGTGATCCTCCTCTTGCTCTGTGGCTGTGTTTATTTTGTGATTGACTCTGCAACCTAACCAAATAGTAAACTCCTTGAATACAGCACAATTTTATTCATTTTATGTCTAGTGCCTGCCTCACTGAATACTTGCTGAATGAAGGTGCTTCCATCATAACAAATACTAAGCACATGGGTTATTAATCACCATCACCACTCTCGTGGAACTTGCAATTTCAAACAGAATTCCAAACTCTTCCCAGAGGAAAGTTTTAAGTGATGAGATCAGTGTTAATTATACGACTTGTTTCATCAGCAGGGATATGAAAATCAAACTTAGAACTAGGTTCAGGTTACTTCTTGAAAAAGATAAGAAAACCCAGCCAATGCTGCCTTGAGAAGCTCCCCCTCTACAGATCTATAAATGTTGCTTCAAGCTCTCTTTTAATATATAGTCTGGCTATACTGAGTTCAGTAATAAGAGCTGATTAATAAACTTATGCAAAATATGAAATAGTAAATAATCCTATTGAGCAATAATATACAACTATGCTACTCAAGCACATATATAATAAACTATTACATCTGCACAGTAAAATGATTACTTTTTAGATGATGCAGAGATGATTCCTTTCAGGTATTTACATTACCTTCCAGGTTCATTCCAGCTTGAAGACATTTTCGATAGCGGCATGCTGGGCAGTTTTTTCTTCGAATTTTATCAATGATACAATCATTTCTTCCAGCACAAAGATAATTGTGCTGTCCTATGTGGGAAACAAAGGCACTGTTAAAATTTCACGAGGCTTTGGAGCGACTCCTTCTGTTTTTGGTTTAGGTAGAACATCACCAAGGAGCCAAGGCATCGATTAAGGAAGGTACGGTGTACTTCTTACATGGTCAGTACAAAGTTGAAAGGTCAACTTAAAAAAAAGGTCTCGTTCTTATTCTGTTCAACAAATTAAACATTGTTCATTACAAAACTTCACGGCAGCGTACATATAGAAAAATACACACATCATAAGTGTACCTACCTAACAAATTTTCATGAACACTTCCCATGTAATCAGCTTTCAGATCAAAAACCACAAAACAGTATCCCACAAACCCCTTTCTTGTCCCTTTCCACTCACTTCCCCCAAGGGTAACCGCCTTCTTGATAAATTGTGCTTTAAAAAACGTTTCTTCTTTTAACAGTTACAGAAGATGTCTGTAATCACTATTTATTATGACTTCTGACCTAAAGAAAGAGGAAACTGGCTTAAAAATACTGTGAGAGTCCCAACAGGAAAATGACTTTCATTCTACATTATGCCACCACATACAAATAAAATGTGCTCCCCCTTCCAATTTTAAATGAAATGAAGTGATAGGTAAAGACTTAATCTTGAAAGTTAAGGTTGCCACCAAATAGGTGAATCAGACTCGGCAAACTAGATTACTGTATGTAGATCTTACAGAAGTAGTTTGCTAATGATTTCACATGCTTTTAGAATGTAAGAATGTTTGAATTCACCATTGATCTCAAATATTAATTAAAAGACCACAACTGTCTAAAATCTCCTGGCACATACAATTACTAAATAATGTGTTAGAGGGAGAAGTGCGGTTTTCACCTGGCAAAAATTTTCTAGAAAAAGACTAAAAGTCTCCCTACCTTCTCCCCAAATGCATATTCTTGTAGTTTTCACTTAATCTGGTTATTGAACATTGAAGAAAACTATCGGAGGATCTGCTGGCCTGACAAACTGAAAGGACCCCCCTCTACGAGACCAGCACATCTAAATAGATGCACTAGATAACTGTGAGTCCATGTGCCTTTCTTACACTAGAGAGGATGGTCTTCACAAGACTGCAAGCGAGTTCTCAAATCACATGCAGAGCAAAGAGAAAAATGCAGTTCCCTAGGCTGAATTGATCTAGTTCTGAATTTGGGGAAGAGATCCTTTATGCATAGGACAACCTAAGACTTGCTTTGGATGAAAACAAACTATGATTTACTTCTCTCTAATATGATAAATCAGTGTTTTTTATGCATTAGTTTGGGGAGGTGGTTAACTATATCAGGAACAGGCCACAGAGTTGACTGATGGCCCACAATTGCGCTTTGTTGCAGAGCTGCTTCCCAATGCCAAATGTCTCTGCCAGCTGTTTCAGTTCCTTTTTGTGCTGGTGTAAGTTTCTTTACTTGAACATGAAATGCAAGCACCAACCCAATAATTCTATCCTCTATTAAGGCAAAAAGTAGGAACAACAGATCTATCCATAGTTGAAACAGCTATAATATAAATAAGTTCTACTCCATAAGAATATTGCCAAGGATGTGAGGTACAGCACAGGGAACAGAGTCAATGGAATTGTAACAGCCATGTACGATGTCAGAGGGATAGTAGACTGGGGGGGATGTAGTTTTGTACACGTGAATCTAATTTAAAAAAACTCCAAATCATTGTCCTGCAGTTACTGAAAAAGACAACTGAAAAAATTACTCATTGCAAAAAACAGACAAAAATTCCAATGCTTTATTTATATCTAACCAAAATAATCTAACCAAAATATCAATGTGCATATTATGCTAATAATGATTTCTTTATCCCAGGTGTCTCAGGCACATCTAAGAATCTGAGCTACAGGATCAGGGAGCATTGTATCCTTAAGTGAAAACTGGTCCTATCTGGTTATTAGTATGAAGTGGAACAGGTCTGTTTGTGTCTCATCTATAACATGAGGAGTTTCAACTAGTGCTCACTGTTTTACGAGGCATGGGCATGAACCACTGATAGTCACTCCCTGTCAAGCCTTTTGACAGCGAGACGTCCTAGTTTGGTGTTCCTACTTCTTGTACCACTTGGTAAATTCCCTTCTAACAGAGAGTAGGTGTCAGAAAAGCCTTCAAGCCAGCTGGAATTTCTTAACATTGTTTTGTTTGCATTGTATTTACTTCTGGGGCTAAAATCTATTTTTGGCAAATGCTTCTGCTTTCTATTTATGGTGGTAGCCAACCTCCAAAATGGTCGCCAATAGTACCTTCCCATTCTATACCAGGATGGTCTGTGTGGGCAATAAAATAAGGCAGAAGTGACAGGATATCACATCTGAGAATATCACATTTGAGATTAAGTTACAAAGTTTCCATGTTGGTCACACTCTCTTGTGGATCATTTGTTTTAGGGGATGCCAGCTGACAGCAGCCCTAGAGGAGGCCCACGCAGTGAGGAACTGACGCTTCCTGCCAAAAGCAGCGCCAGTGGGTTGGGAGTGGAGCCTTCAGGCGACTGCAGCCCCTGCCCCTCACCAGTCTGAAGGTAGCCTCACGAGAGTCCCAGGACTACCCAGCTCATGAGCTGCTCCCAAATTCCTGACTCTCAGAAACTGCATGACATGAGCTATACAGCAATAAAAAATTAGTACTGTAGGGATAGTAAAGTTGTTGTGGTTTATTTTAATTTAAGTTTTAAAAAAGAGTGATCCAAGAAAAGTGTTAAGCAATAAATAGGACAGTGATGCATAGCTATGATCCGAATCATGAAAGTGGTACGGGAAACGGATGACACAGCAAGAGGCATGTTCTCGGGGTTTCTGCAGTTTGTTTTACCTGTTTGAAGCGTCCACGTTTTAAATGTGAGTGAACTGTGACAGTCAGCTTAAGCTTCTCTCACCTGCTCTCAAAACCAGTGTGGTGCAGTGGAAAGTGCACTGAAGGTGCCGGGAAGCACAGCTCTGGTTCCCAGCTGTGTGTGCGCAGTAATGTTTACTGACTTCTCTGAGCCTCTCCTTCCCCATTTATCTGCAAGGCTGGAAAATTAGCACCTATCTGCTGGGCTTCTGCAAGGGTTAAGGCAGTTTTGCCTTGCACACTGTAAGCAGTCAGGAAATGCTACCTATCTATTTGCTTGCAGTAACTTTCCTGTCTAGCTAACTAGATTCTAAACTCCCAGGTGACAAGACATAATCATATACCTCTCAGGGAGTCTGTGTGACACTAAAGTTAAGAGCCTGTTAGGAGACAGCAATGTTTCAACCTAGTTCTGCCCCCTAAACTCTGAGCCTCAGTTTCCTAGTCTATCAAATATGGATCATAATGTCATCTAAGAGCTCACAGAGCTGCTAATTAAATGGTATGACGTATATAAAACATAGTACTTGGTACATGGTAAATTAAGGGTAGTTAATGCCTATCTTCATTATGACCCACCAACAAAGATTAGATGTACTTTTGTGCAAAGGGAACATAAGAAACAGGGCCTTGGGGAAAAAAAGATCACTGAACTAGTATCCATCGTAAGAAATGGAGCTACCCAAAGTTTTTTTCTGAACTCAGAAAAGCAACACCCAGTAATAACAGATAAAAAAACTTCAAAAAATCCATTCTTGATCTGGGTTGTATGGGCGATAAGTAAAAACTGCAAATTTGCTCACAATAGTTAAACGTTTGGGTATTTATTATGCTTGGCCGATTTGGGGATAACCTACAGTTTCTAGCAGGTGTTACAAAAGGAGCACTAAGTGTAATGCAAATCATACACACTACATCTTTGTAATTGTTTGCAAAGTGCTCCAAAATACGTATCTGGACTTTAAAACATACTTCCATCATGTCCAGGTAGGTTATCAGAGGATTACAGAGCTTTGGAGCTGGAGGGGACCTTGGAGAACATTAAAATCCAAGTAAAGGATTTATTTAACACAGTACCCATTTAAACTTTTTCTTGTTAATCAGGTAATCTAGCTATCATACTTAACTGAAATATTCTTTGACATTTTTGACATTTTGAAATAGTATAGCCAGTGTCCAATGAAATTCAACCTAAAAACAGGTGTAAGAATTTAATTCCAAATCAGGGATTAAGACCAGAGGGCATATAGCCTGCAGTGGTATTTTATTTGGGAAGTAGTTTAGCTTATGTTTTATTTAGAAAATTGCATTTAGATGCTTTTAGGTAGGACACACTTGTGCTCTCTAATATCAATACCTGCCCTCCCTGCCCTGGATGGATTGTATTTGGCCAGAATGACACACTTGGTCCCTGCAGGCATTTGAATTTGTAGCCCTGTTTTAAAGACTAATTTTAGTGAAACTGGAGGAGAATGAAAAATGTTTTTTAAAATACCCATATTTCTTTTAAGGCTCCACTGTCTTCTGCTGAATGTCACCCTCAGAAATCAATGTGTTGATATTATTTGTTATGTCCAGCAATACTGTATTACCGCCATCACTGCATTTATATTGTGGAAATAACCAATCAGTTAAGAAAGTGCTGAGTCAAGTAAACTGAGGACAGGAAGCGGCTCCCTCCTCCTGGGTCTGCAGTAAAAACCTCTCCTCTGTGGGAGGCACTGCCCTAAGCGGGGTGGGCTTCGCATGTGCGGTGACCAGCTGGGCCAAGCCTGCCGTGGGGTCAGCACGAGGAATTTCATGGTTTCTCATGTAGTAAAAAAGTAATCCAAACAAAAGAAAGTGACTCTCAAGGATATGTAAACACAACTCTAGCCAAGTAATACTAACAAGCCTTCTCATACTATGAATGAATAAATGATTATATCTCTTTAAAAATTAAGAAATATATTCAGAGTAATCTTTAGGTAATCTACTCAGGCCACATGCCCTCAAACTGCTTTACAGATAACTAAATTGCATCATTTTTTCCAAATGGATTCACTGGTAATATTAGAAAATTTTAGTGACTTCCAATAATAATTTGCTGTGGAAAGAATTTCTCCTTTAAAGAGTTGATGCTTTCATCCTGGTCAGCAGGCTGAACCCAAAACAAGGGTGAAGTTTATATTAATATAATATTCATACAGTGAAATCACCTCTAAAATACCTTCTTTCCTGACCACCTCAGGCAGTTCATCGCTTACTCCTCTGTTTTATAATCTCTGTACTTTGTATTGTTAACTCCTCTTTCTCTTCAAGTAGAATGACCTCGCAGAGGGCAGGGGTCAAATCTCACGTTGTCTTTACATCACTTAGTCCAACAGGAAAAAAACCCCAAACTGAAACACCTTTCCCCCCACAGTTCTCACTGCCATTCATCTTTGCCAGCCTGGAGTAGCTGGTGGCTGGTAAAACCAACTAATTTATGGGAATTAAATAAAGCCCGTGATTCTAATACAATGAGCGTTATGTTACTGGCCCGATCTAACACCCTTATTTCACTTTCTTACACTTCCCTTCTGTACTCTGACCAAGGCCCCTCCCTTCAGTTTATACTTTTCTATTTTATTCTAGTTCTGCTTATGTTGCTTTTAAAAATATCCTCCCCACAGGAGGACCGAGGAGCCACCCTCCTCTTCCCCCTCACTGACTTTTATCCTTAACGGGCTACCTGTAATAGCCTCAGAATCCACTCGGAGAAATAAAAACCAAATAGAGGAAAAACAGAACTCTTCAAAACACACACTACCTTCCACCGCTCTTTTGAAGAAGACTTTACAGCTTCCACACGTCAGGACCCCGTAATGACATCCCGAGGCTTCATCAGAACACACAAGGCAGAGTTTGGGAGGTGGTCCCGTCGCTGCTGAGGAGGTGGATGGAGGAGAGCTTATATCTGGTCTCATTCCAGGGCTACAAAAGGAAGAGCAGCGTTACTGTGTAACTGCCACGACTGCACAAGGAGCATCAGCAGGCAGTTCTCTTACCTTCTCGCTCGTCAGCATATGCACGAGCTCGGGCATCAGGTACTAGCATAGCAAGCGTTAAACAGCCTAGGTGTCTAATATAGTCAAATAATGCTTCTTTTAGACAAAATTAAAAGTGAGCTCATTTCTTTTAGGTATGCCCTAAAAAGAACAGTGAGATTGTGCTTCACTTAGAAGTTACAATTTTTACTTGCTTAGGATTTGCCTATATCTATAGTCGCCTTTATTAAGGTGTCTTTAACATATAGTAACAATCACCATTTACATGTGCAAGAGATGAGTTTTATTAAATCGATAGCTGTGTAACTACCACCACGATCAAGAGAGAGTAATATACCTATCACTCCCAAAAGATTCCTCTTACCTGTTTAATTGCTTAGGACACCGTGTTTGTTTTTTCTAATTTTAAGATCTTACACAGCCATCTTTCTAAATTCAATGAAGTCTAATAATTACAATTCTTCTCATGTCCTCTACTACAGTGAAAACATTTTACAATATTAGTTTGGTCCTACATCTCTCATTCTCAGCATCATCCTGGCTGAAACCAGTTTCTTAACACTTAGCAAGACTGATGCAGAAACATTCCTTCCTCTAACCTTTCTGTCTGGCTTGCGGTACCTGGAAAAAGCATTAGGCTTTTGATAGTCAGGACCGTTCTGCTTCCCACTCCTCCGCCCTCTGCCCGGAGAGAATGATGGGAAATGGTAACGCGTGTCTCCCACCAGGTCTTGTTTTTCGTTCTAGACTTCTCACCACAGTGAGCACAAGTCTAGTGTTTACTAATGTTTAACGATAAACGTTCTCTTCCCAATTTGTTTTGACATATTTCAAACAAGAAAAGTGGAAAGAATTGTACAATGGAATATATATACCCTTTAACTATATATACTCACCGATTCTTAACATTTTGCCACATTTGCTTATAAAGACATACTTTTATAAACCAACAAAACAGTGATCCTTTTAATGCCAGAGTGAAAAACTGTGAAACACTTCATAATAGATGATACAGTGCTTTCCAATGTTATGTCTTCCTAAGGAATTTTCATCTTACCTGCTAACTTAACCAAAACTGTGCTGTGTAACTCAAAAGAGTTTCTAACCTTTTAACTTTGTGTAACTAAAAAGAGTCTCTAAAATGTTTCTAGAGACTGGCCATTCCTTCTCTGGTTATGTGTGCTTCAAAAATATGGATGGTAGGAATCTATTGATTCTGGAACTATACATATTAGTGGTTTTTTTGTCACTTATATATAGGAAAGTTCATAAACATACCCTTATGTCTCTCTAAAATTTTCTTAATTTACCTATTCTCTAAAAGAGATGGCATTTGGGAATAAACTTCAATTGTGTGAGTTGCCTTTGTCCGCCTTTGTAATTACAGCCAATCGCAGTACAGCACCTCGAATAATATTTTGTTCAACATTATTTCATTATTCATCGTTTTGCTTAAAAGTCTCAGAACCTATCGACAGCAGTAAGTGAGGACTTACTGTACTAAATCTCAATTGCAAATATGCTTCAACTAATTCCCAGTGCACACTAACTTAAGAAATGGTTTTGGCTATCAACATGGTTAGAAGTTGTATTTATTGAGTAACACCTTCATAGCTGTTCTGTTTTAGGAATAAAAGTTAAAAGGTAATTGCAGAATGACAATTTGTTTTATAGATGTCATGCTGAGTAATTAGGCCAGTAAGCCCACAAGCCCCCCCGAATGGTCCTCGGATGAAGCTTCCTGCAGTTGGCCAACCTGTGTTTGTCTAAGAGGCTCAGTCAACAGGACAGTGTTCCCACCACCCCAATTCTGGGAATAGGCCTCAGGGTTTCACATTGTTCTCAGAACACTGTCAGAATTTCTGGATGCTTCCGTATCACAGGGCATTGATTCCCTGCTAGAGCTGAGAGTGGACTGAGTACATACTGAAAGCCTGCAATGAAAGAATCACCTGAAATGACTTTGCTGGAGGCCTGGCATGAGCCATCCTCGATGAATGGAAACTTGTGACTAATGTAGGGGGCTGCGCCGGCCGCGCCAGTTTTACAGAGAAGTCGGAAGGTCTCGGAGTGAGTGGTGCGAGCCATGTGTCAGGGAAGCGAAAACTTCCTTGGCTTCTGTTCTGAAGACGCGCCTGTTCCTGCTCAGCCAACCTCTTGTCACCTGATATCTATTTTTAGGGACCAACCAGTTGTTTGCGTATTTAGTTTATGGAAAATGAGCGCAATATTTAAAGATTTGAAATGTTGATTGTCAACCAATTTTAAATATGTAGAAATAGAATTCTATATACACATATTTATATAGACATACATATATGTATTTAAAAATTTTTAAATAGCACTTTGTAGTACTACATAATTTTAAAGCACTTTCATGAACAGAATCTTGTCTATCAACAACCCTGTGAAAAGGATGCCACTGCTCTAGATGCGGTCACGCAGAAGAGTGATCAGGGATCCTACTTGTGGTCACACTGACGTGTTTCAGATCGCAGCTCTACCACTTGAAAGCTTGTGTGACCTTGGGTTTGAGCCTCAGTTTCCTCATGAGTAACCTGGAAAGGACATCACCTCTGTGTGCTGAAAACAAGGCAACACAGAAAGCCGAGCACACACTTGCTGCATCTAGCTGGCACTTGATAAATGCTCATTATTTTCTTTTAGAAAAATGAGATGTTATATTTAAAAAAAGCATTATAGAAGTGGAAAGTAGTATTAAATCCAAAGTCTATAACAGTATTCCTAAATTTTCACTTATAAATTAGCACATCTGCAAAACACATTCACGCCACTCAACTGTGTGCTACAGATGAAAACAAGGGAAAGTTAAAACTAAATGAACAAATGGATCGATAGAATTGTAGCAAAGAATCTGGAACTTAAGTCAGGCTTTGGCATCCCTTCAGGCAGTCATTCTGGGCTACATCAGATAAGAACTGAGTGCGTGGAAAGCTGCCAGCTGGACCACAGACATAGTGGAAGAAATCAGTTTTTGTCACACAAATATGAGGACTGTGATGGCCTATAATGAACAGCATTGGGAGAAATGGATGAAAGCAAAATGGTCTTCAACTGCAAATGTGACCCTACGATATTGCTAAAAGGGCTGGGGTACAACACAATGTTGAGAACTCAAAACCATATGGAATCACCATCTTTTAATAAGGCTACATGGCAGAAAGAAAAAGCGCACCGTGGTTAAGAATGCATGTTACACCCCCTTCTCATGAACAAGCTAAAATGACCTGGTCTTCACTCTGGGAGTGTGTTTACAGCTGCGCCAAACGTGCTGAGGACGCTGAGGCTATGAACTCACTACCTCCGGATGCTCTCTGTTAAGTGCAGAGTCACAGGAACAGAATGGCTTGTTCAGGTGAACACCTGACTGCTGCTTCTCCTTCAGAGGAGAGTGCTGGACACTGAATTATTCCCGAGGTTACTGGGCTTATGAGAGAAAAAACAGGTATAAAGTATGAATTCTCTTGCAAGTAAAACAACCGATGGAAGGAGGCTCATGGACAGACACTTGCGGGTGGTTTATAAAAGTTGATCACACCCCTTGAGACGCATGTAAAACGTGCAGGGAAATTACACCCTTTCATTCAGCATACACTTCCTGCCACCTGAGGCCAGGCCCTGAGAATACAGAGGTCTGATCTTACAGGGAAGTCGTGTCATGAGTGAAAGGCACTCCTGAAATAGTAATGAACCGTGAAACTTGGATCCAGGCAGGAGCAGCAGAGTATCCCTTAGCTGCCTGTGTCAGAACTGAAGAAGACAGTCAGCTCTATATACAGAGGGATCTGATTTCAGTCCTGCTCCCGGCTCTAACCACTGTGCAGCAGTGGCTAGCGGACCTAACCACGTCTGTTTCCCACTGGCACCATTTTAGGAATTTCTGTGTGGATGGTATACCATCAGATTCATATAAAGTACTGGCACACACTTGGTGATCATCAAACAATACGTTTGTTTCTCCTCACCACCACTCCCCTGCCCCCCATGATACCTTCCTTTTTTCTCCCTCCCCAATTCCTCCTTCCCTCCTGGAGTACCCCAGGGAAAGAGAAGTGCTGTAAATACCCTTCCTTCCCTGTGAGCCAGGGGAAGGTTAATGGTCCCAGAAGCCTAAGTTCAGGAAATTGTAGATAATCAACAATTTCTTTTTGTAAAGCATGGTTTTGTACTATCTTGCATATCATGCATTAGTTATTCCCTAAGTTATGCAGACCTTCCACATGTTGACAGAGTTCATTATACAATATAAAGGAGTCACATGTATTAAGCTCACAACGTGGCAGTTATGTCTTCTAAAATTCTAAATTTTGTTGGAAAGCTCTAATTTTTATCAACTGGCAACAAATACTGTCAGTTGTCTTCCTTGAAGTGATAAGCTCACTTCAGTCATTTTTGAGAAAACATGCCAAATACGCAAGGCTGCAAATCATAATTTATCCATGGTCTCTCATGAAAAACAGTGGCCTGTTCAGCTCACAACTTATCCGTGCTTTTCTTTGAGACAGCCATCAAATGCTGTATGCAGCTTAAGTGCTTTATGCATCTTCCCATATATTCAAGGGTAGAGATTTAACAGAATTAATAATATTTTGCTTCCCCAAGGATACTCTGAAAAGGAATTGACTTTCGTTTTCAGCCATGAGTGAGCGGCAGTGAAGACCATGACTGCTGTACCCTAAGTTGCCAGCAAGTGTTCTCATCGCTGTTTCTGTACCATCAGTGTAAATATCAATGCATAAATAAAGACTTATTGTCATGAAAAGAGTTCTGAAAGAAACTTGGGGACTCCCGGGGGGCCATAGACCACATTTTGAGAACTGCTGTTATGGAGAGTAGTAAGGATTCTAAGTCAGACAGGCTAGAACTCACTACCTAACTGCAGTGTCGTAGCTTGGTGACTTTTTA